TGCAGATTATTTAACAAACCTGGTGGTCACTACTGACAACTACTATGATTTTTTGGCAATTTTAATATTCACATGGAGAATGACAGTGATCTTTTAACAACAACGTTTGCTGCTGTTCTAAACTCTGTAGGTCTATGTCAGAATGTAGTTGGCCAACTCATGCCTTTAACCACACCCTGAATTTGATTCTTAGCCATGGTGTCCCAGTGGAACACATATCTATTACACCTCAGAATCCTCTGCTTTTAGATTACTTGTTAACGTTTGATATACTGTACAGTATAGCCTACCTTCAGCCCCAGCTCCAAAGTACAGTATCAGATGTTCCACTGTCTCATTAACTACAACAGCATTTCTCAACCAACTTCCACAGTCCTTCAAGGTTTCTTCCTTATAGGGAGCTTTCCTTGCCACTGTCGACTCTGACTTGCTCACTGGGGGCTTTGGGTAGGGATGCTGTAAAGCGCTTTGAGACAATGTAATGTTATGAAAATATGCTATATGAATAAAACTGAACTGAATTGAAATTGCATTCTGTGTTTGGGTGGGGATTCAAAATTATTATTTATTGTGGTATTTTTTAACTAAAATGACACATATACATTTTTTTTACTTATCGCCCAGCCCTAATCAACAATACACTAATCGGAGAGCTATAAATCCTGTGAAACAGGCTTTTAGAAGAAATGTTTGAACAATTTATAAATAATGATGCTTCATTCATCCCCATGGGGAAATTGTATTTATGCCCCTCCCATCTTGCTCTCCAAGAGATACGCCAACACATATACAGGTGAGAGGAAGTTTGGGGTCACAGTGCAGGGTTGGCCAGCATCCAGCCCCCTGCAGCTCAAAGACCCAGCGATGACATCACTCTGCCGGCCAGGAGATCTGAACCAGCGACCTTCCGCTCACAGACACAAAGTCCGAACCCAAAGAGTCACGCATCACACCCAGTATTTATAGAAATGCTTCCTACAGTATCCAGAACTGAAAAGAATATGAGTGGTTTTCCCGCTATTAATGAAAACTGGACCATTCTGTATAATGCTGTATCTTTGGCTATTTGTTACACAAAGGATGGTCATGGAAATTTTGTCTTTTTTGTTTTTACTACATCACTACCTTCAGTCATTATAAAGTCTGTGGTTTAGATTATGAAAAAAACACCCAAGTTATTAATCCACAAGGAGAAATAAATTATACGTATATTATATATTTCAAACAATATTCATGTATCACTGCCAGACCAGACATGATTTCCCATCCCCACGTCACTTACAGAGCCGTCCTGGATTTCTTTACCACCGGCAGCAGCCTCCAGTGCTCTTTATCTGATCTGATGTATTTCTTCAGATCAAACACATCCAGCTCCTCATTTGACATCAGCATCACAAAGGCCAGAGCTGAGTACTGTGCAGGTGAGAGGTCTTTTGCTGAAAGGTTTCCTGAATTCAGGTATCTTTGTACTTTTTCTACTAGAGAATTGTCACCCAGCTCAATCAGACAGTGGAACAGATTGATGATCCTTTCTGGAGATAAATTATGCTCTATTTTCCCCTTGATGTATTTGGCCAGCGATGGGGTTGTATCCCATTCTGGGTCGGAACTCAATTCTGAGCCGGAACCCCACTCTGGATCGGAAAACCATCCTGGGTCTGTCTCTACACACATGTAGCTTCGGGAATAAGCTTCAGACCCCAGCGGCCCTGAATAGGACACAGGGGTACAGATACTGGATGGATGGATGTATCGGGCTTGTGATGGACTGGCACCCCATCTTGGGTTATTCCATGCCATGCTCACGTAGCTTTGGGCATAAGCGTCAGACCCCAACAGCTCTGAATAGGACACTGGGGGACAGAAATTGTGCGGATGGATGTGTAGGTCCATTTCCTTAATGGTATGTGAGCTGATTCTTGTCTCTCCCAGTAGTTTTTGTAACAGAGTCTTACAGG